GTTAAAGTTACTAAAATGCCATTTGTCCATGTCCTGTAATTTTTCGTGATTTTAGGGGGACCAAAAGTCCTCTTTTTGCCAGACATGTCCTGGACATTTTAGTTCAAGTTTTAGTAATTTTGCCATGTGCTTTTGCCATTTTTTTGTTTTATATTTATTTAGCTTTAATACATTTTTTATTTCTGTTTTCATTTCAGTAATTTTAAGGTGACCATACATCCTCGTTTAAATAAATAAATAAATAAGGCAACTGTTGCATCAGTCTTTTGAGTTATGACAACTTCTAATGAAACTATGTTCAACTAACAAACTACACTGAGTTAGATTAGCTTAATCATTTGTAGTTTAAACACAAATTTTTAAGTTTATCATTCAAAAAATTATGCTTTAACTAATGGAGTCGTGACCCTGGAACTAATTCATCTTCTATACTCCTTTTATATTTATATTGTATTAAATGCAATTTGTCATACTTAAGAGTGTTTTGACCCACTTAAGTAGGACTTAAGTACATCTTCATTTTATTTTTTTCATAATTACTTTTCATGTCAATTTAAATATATGGTTAAAGTGTACTGCATGCTGAATGTACTGACAAGCATTTATGGCACACTAAAATTTACTTTAATGGCATTTAATGAAACTTGTATATCATGGATTTAAATATACCTGTAATGATAAAGTTGCAATTTAGTACTTTTAAAATATATTAACTTTAAAGCTAGTATTGAATAACACAGTTAAAATTATAATCGAGTACTTTACATGTGCTTTGGTATGTTAGTCAACACACCAAAACAAGTGAACTTTAAAGCATGACAAAACAAAGTTATTAAAAGAATGATTTAGAATTTGACATTATTAAGTGAACTTGTTAAAAGTGTACTTAAGTGTGTTAAAAACAGTAATGAAAGTCAACTCTCTTTAAGTGCACTTAAGTGGCCTTTTATTTCATTTCAGTTTAAAAATATACTTTTAATATTTGAAGTACACTACTAGTGCACATTCATTACAATTAAGCACACTTCTTTTTCACGAGTGTGGGCTGGGGACGTTTAGATTTATTATTAAGCACCAAACTAAATAGTACCCTGATTTAAACTCGCAGTAATTTCAATAGTAGGCCTTGACCGGTTACAAAAGTTTGTGTAAGGAGCCCTGGCTGCAATAGGTTTTGCTTGTGTGTACATACAGTATGTAATCCACTCCTTTGGCTCTCTGCACATCCTGTCCTTTTACTGTGGGCAGTCCAGGCATGGTTAGACAGGCTTGTTCGCAATGTTGTGGTTTTTCCGCATTAGCCTTAAGCCTTCGGGCAAAGCTTGGAGAATACCGTTTTAAGACCCCACCTGTATTTATTTAGCAACTTCATTTGCACGCAGTAGTGAAAACACCAGGTGCTCACAATGAGAGATTAGAAAAGATGGGCTGTAATCATGAAGACATGCTAAACACTCATATCAAGAACAAAAACATGGTCTAAGTGGATCTACCGTGATGCTTGATCTGACATTTTAGCGATTTAGCCTATGCCAATGTTGCCAACAGCCATTTTATTAGTGGTGTTTGCCAAGCCAAGCATCATTGTTACTATTACTCATACTTAAGTTTAATAATTTAAACCACTAAACCTATTAAACTTTGGCACATGACTTATCTCACACCGTTTGCGCTACAGACAAGAATGATACCGCAAATAACGCTAAAAAGCACAATTTAGCAATTAGCATTTAGCATAGCAAAGCCCTGGCAATGATTGCATAGGCATGCACTGCACACATTTTCTATATAAATGTGAAATTTAGGCTATACTGCAGTGTGGCTACTGTTAACTAAAAAAACTAAAGCTATTGAGTCTAAAACTACTAAATCATTTTTGGTCATTGAAATAAAGCGGAAACAAAATCAAATATAAATGAAAATCAGGCATGTTGACGTAGCAACTAACTGAAATAAGTTAGTAACTAAAATAAGTTACTAAATAAGTTACTAAAATACCATTTGTCCATGTTCTGTAATTTTAATTTAAGTGTTAGTAATTTTGTTTTGTGCTTTTGTTATTTTTTAAAAATATTAATTTAGCTTTATTTTATTTTTTATTTCAGTTTTCGTTTTTGTGACTTTGGGGGGGGGACAAAAGTCCTCTTTTTGCCGGACATGTCCTGAACATTTGTCCATGTCCTGTAATTTTAGTTTAGGTTTTAGTAATTTTGTTATGTGCTTTTGTCATTTTTACTAATGTTTTTTTTTTATTTTTTATATTATGTATTTTTAATATATTAACATTTTTAATATTTATTTAGCTATAATTATTTTTTTATTTCCGTTTTCATTTTAGTAGTTTTAAGGTGACCACACATCCTCATTTTCCTGGACATGTCCTGGCCGGGTTTTCTAAAGTGCCTAAAATGTCCAGGTATTGTCTTTGTTTTGCTATTGACGTTCTCTCTACAGTCCTCTTACATTAAATGTAAGTGGTTTTGCATTGCTCTAACGTTCTCTCTAGAGCCCACCTACTCCCACACAACGATTGGTCGATTTTGTACAATGCCTGCACGCTATTGGTCAAATTACTTGTCAGCTATTACCTTCAGCATGTATGAAAGCAATAGCAAAACAAAGTCAAAACCCAGACATTTTAGAAATCCCAGCCAGGACATGTCCGGTAAAAAGAGGATGTATGGTCACCCTAAAATCACTCAAATGAAAACTGAAATAGAAAAGAAATTAAAGTTAATTAAATATTAAAAAAATAAAACATAATAATAAAAAGACAAAAGCACATAACAAAAAATTATAACAACTTAAACTAAAATGAAACTGAAAATATAAAAATAATTCAAATAATTCAAAATATGAATGCATGCTTTAAAAGTATAGAAATAATACTAAAATATCAGTTATACACCGTAAATATGCCTCCTGTTTACTTTCATGCAGTTCAGTCTAATAACAGCTCAGAAATACCATTATCACTTCTCTTTGAGAGAGTCTTGCATTTAAATGACAAAGAAGCCAAACTTTGCTTGATTGTCCTAAAGTACTGTCCGGAGTCTGAGTGGTCCTTTGTGAGCATCCAGAGAGCATGAGGTCAGGTCAGGGGTCTTCAGAGAGATGTTATCAGACTCATTCGGGCCCCGCTGCTCCATCTGACCCCCTCTCCTTCAAGCAGGGAGCCATTGTCTCTGACCCAGGCTTTTTATTGCTTCTCTTGAATGGCTGAGCTATGCTCAAAACAAAGGCCTGTGTTTGCTTGCCCAAGGTGTCAGTCTTCAAACTCCCTCACAATGGATGCCCAGTGTTTACACTCCAGTGAACTGAGGTTGTCCAGAGCTGCCGCAAATTGGTTTGTTTAGAAGAGGTAATGGCAAACATTACATTCTCTCACAATAGATCCATTAAGGTGACAATAACCCTGGGTAAACAAGTTATTATGCCCTCCCTAGTTCTCCAGTGTCATGATTCATCTCTATGTATTGTGCCAGAAACATCGAGCAGGCTATATTGTGCATTTCAATAAAGGGAACATGTATACTGGCGGCCAAAAGTATGGAATAATTACGATTTAATGTTTTTGAATGTCTGTTATTCTCACCAAGAATGCATTTATTAAAAAAAGTACAAACAAAAAAATGACAGTAAAAACAGTAATATTGTAAAATGTTATTACAATTTAATATAACATTTCTATATGAATATATTTTAAAATGTAATTGATTCAAAGCTGAGTTTTCAGCATCATTACTCCAGTCTTCAGTGTCACACGATTCTTCAGAAATCAGTATAACATGCAGATTTGCTGCTCAAGAAACATTTCTGATTATTATCAATGTTGAAAACAGTTGTGCTGCTTCATATTTTTGTGGAAACTGTGATGCATTACCATTCAAAAGTTTGATGAAAAATCATTTTTTATTTAGCAAGGATGCATTAAATTGATCAAAAGGGACTGTAAAGACATGTATAATGCTACATGAATCAAAAATATGAAAAATGAACAAAAAAGCAGCACAGCTGCTTTCAACAATGATAATAAAAAGAAATATCCTTTCCTCAAAAAGTCTGCACAATTTGATATCGTATTCATGATATATTATTCAAAATAATAGTATAATAAAAGTATGAGCAATAGTGATGTTTGTCTTAAAAACAGCACTAATGTTTGAGTAACACAATACCACTCTTCACTTCATCTTGCTCCGATTCATCAGTCATTCACTTGAAACAAAAAGTGTCATGTAAACGCAGCTAATGTTGCACAATCTCAGTGTCATCGGTATTGTCGTGTTTTCAAGTCGTACGAGTAGTTTCTTATTTCCCGTCGATTCTCATCGAGTGAGGTCACTGTACATGTTCACACCTGACAAGGTTTTCCAGGGCCAGAAAGTGTGGGAAATATCACTGATGGATTTTTCTCACACAAAAATTGAACTCAACTCTTTAAGGAGCTAATATTGACTGACTACTATTTGACTTCTGGGCATGTCAGGTCTTGACGATTTGAATTTCGTAAGAATCAAAATAGGATGCGAGTTATTTATTGTGGCATTATCCGACCGTGCACCTGTGATATTGACATTAACTTGATTGACAGTTATTAACTTGATATTAAATGTGGTCGAGAGAAGAGCCGCATTTGACATTGAGACGCATGCATGTTATATATTCAATTTATCCAGGATTTTCTTTCACAATACTGAATATTTGGCTATATTGTACCAAACACCAAAGTTTTAAGTCTTCGCCGAGGGAAGAAAAAACAGATAAATACCAAATAACTAGTTTCCAGAGATCACACAAAGGCTGGCTCCTGCCCTTTATTTCTAGGACACATCTATGGCTACAGGTGAGGTGGGTCTTCTAACCTGTCTTCTGAGGCGCCAGCCAATCAGCGAGCGTCATTTTCGCACCCCCGGCCAATCAGAGCGCAGACCCGCCCCTACTTGAACCCAAATACTTTACACAGAAAAATAAGCCATCAAAGTTTACCTATAGGTCTCTACGCAAACAATAAACACGTTAAAAGTAGATTTAACATGTTCTAACGGTTTCAATATCTATTTCTTTATTCATAAATCACTTCGGGAAGGACTGGACGGGCGAGCTCAGGTGTTTCCTACCTGTTCCTTCAGCCCTTGAGGAATAACCCGAGAGAGAAAAGTCGATTTACCTGTAGCCCGGGTTCTGGCATCTCCCTCTCGCGCTCTGTCTTCTGTTACCTGTTACCTGCACCGACTTGAAAGTCCAGTTTCACGAGGAAGAGCCGCGGAGGAAGAGAGATATGTCAGAGGAGGCAGACAGGTAAGAGTCAGGACTGCGACACAATCTTCCCTCAGCGCAAGCATCGCTCCGTCAGCGCGTGCCATTCTGCATGTCTACTTTCAGAACAGTTAAATACTCTCTCTGAACTCTGAAAACCGCATTTTTATAGTCGCGTTAATTACGTTCCCCGCGTATAATTCTATACAGGTTTTGTTTGGCTTATTGTTGCTTTTATTGATAAATACCACCGCATGAGGAATTTTCTTTTTTGCGGTCAAAACGCCATTTTTCACGGAGGAAGAAACACCTTGAATTGAAGCTATACCTGAAATTCATTCCCATTTATTTGCACCTTAAAGCTGAGGTTTATGCCCTACATGGCTTTTAAAAAAAAAAAATAGTTTTACTAAAAATAAAATGCAATTTATTTATTTAGCCTGTTTATTTGTGTGCTGTGTTATTTCGTTGTTTTTTTTAGTATGTCGTTGACGATCATCCTAATGTAGAAGCGTCGATATTACGTTGTTTTAGTTTTAAAACACATTTTGTGTCTTGTGTGAAGTTTGACAGATTGGTTACACTTTGTTTCGATAGTCCACTTGAGACATTCTATTAACTACAAGTAACTTTGTAACTACATGTCAACTACAAGTCAACTAATTCTCATTCATTTGCAACTACATGTCTACTAACTCTCAGAGTAGACTGTTAGGGTAGGTTTAGGGTTAGTAGAATAAGTTGACAAAGAAAGTGTTAGAAGATATTAAGCAGACAGTCTACTAATACTCTACTAACTGCTAGTTGACATGTAGTTGTAATGTTATTTACTGTTAACAGAATGTCTAAAGTGGACTATCGAAATAAAGTGTTACCGAAAGATTGTTTTGATAGTTTGATTCTATGCAGTGTTCAGATCTAGTGTGTCATTCGTCGTAACAACCGTTTTATTTATGTTTGTGGTGATTAAACACATTTTAGTTGATAAAATAGGCAAAGTAAATGCACTGGACTGGCGTATCCTCAGGGCTGCTGGTCATAATACGGGTCTTGCGTCTCAAAGATAACTAATCTCTATGTGTGTCAAAGAATTATATAGAAATGAATTCATGCGCTATTCCAATTAAACCCGGTGAAGAGAGGTAAAGTAGGAAACTTTGTGATAATTTATACATAAAGGTATGTTTCAGATGACTTGGCTCCTCCTCACACTAATAGTTAATCACCCCCACTATACAAACAGGGAAAATATTAAATACAAGAAGTATAATTACCTTATAATCTACTTACTGTTTTGCTACTTTGTAACCTCATCATGATTTGCCTCAGAATATGCACCTCATTTTCCACTGCAGATATACAAATGATATTATTTCAGAGCTGAAATTTGATATGCTGATTTAAATTTTTTTATTATTATTATTATTATTTTGTTTTGTATACACACAGTGATAAAGATGACCCACTTTACCTGCATTCTACCCATTTTCCAGTGAAAGAGCCCACAGGAGCACATGCTCTGTGTTCACGGCAACCCAACTCAGATTTACCTTTAGGTTCTGAGAGTATATTTATAGAACAACATTTTAAATCATTGAATTTCTTACCCGCTACTGGGGTAAAGAAATGCTGACGGTTTACTTTATAACTGAGCAATAACAGACCAATTAGAATCCACAAAAACAGAATCCAAGTCAAAGAGACATTATTATTTAATTCTATGTTTGATATCCATGCTTTTAATAAAAAACTAAAATGTCATAAAAACAATAGATTATGAATCTGCTCAATTATAAAATAATAAAAAACATCAGCAACAGTGTGTCACTGGAAACTTTCTGCCCCAATTCTGAGGAGGGCATCTTAGGTCAGTTTTTAACTTTAAAATAAAACAAGATTTGTTACCAAACATATGTCCATAAATCCTAGTTAACAAATAGACAATAGACAAGAACCCTTGTTTGCATTTAACCTCAAAACTGATCAGATGAAAAGTCAAGATTAATAAAAAAAAAACATAGAGCACAACCGTTCAATGTTCAATGTTTAGTGATATAATTTTTTGAATTTTATTGTAGAATTTTATTGTATGTTTCATTTTAGGTGTGGCCAAAAACATTTTGAGGCCACTATATGTTGCTGAATATCTTGTCCATGATTCCGAAGAATAAAAGCAGCCAGATATAGATTTAATATCAGATGTGACCCTGGACCACGAATCCAGTCACAAGGGTCAATTTTCGAAATTGAGATTTATGCATCATCTGAAAGCTGAATAAATAAGCTTTCCGTTGATGTATGGTGATGTATTGTTAGGATCGGACGATATTTGGCAGAGATACGACTATTTGAAAATCTGGAATCTGAGAGTGCAAAAAAAAAATCTAAATATTGAGAAAATCATCTTTAAAGTTGTCCAAATGAAGTTCTTAGCAATGCATATTACTAATCAAAAATGAATTTTGATGTATTTACAGTAGGAAATGTACAAAATATCTTCACAGAACATGATCTTTACTTAATATCCTAATGATTTTTGGCATAAAAGAAAAATCAATCATTTTGACCCATACAATGTATTTTTGGCTATTGCTACAAATATACCCCAGCGACTTAAGACTGCTTTTGTGCTCCAGGGTCACATATGATATCAAATAGGGAGACTAGAGCCAACAGTGGTACTTCCTCATGTCACGTGCCACTACATTGTAGCTGTAGTTGTCTGTCAGGCTGTAAAATGCAGAAGGACTTCTGACAATGTCTGCTGTCAGTATTTGGTTGGTTAGATATGCCTGGCATCAATACACTATACATCACACTCACAAAAGGTGCAGTGTGCAGGTTTGTTTTCATCAGTATGCAAAACAGCGCTTTTACATGAAGCTTTATCACCTGGATCATTTATGTCGGTGTTTCTGTTTGCTAGTGTGCTGATATACTGTTGTGTGTGTGTGTCCCAGTAAGAGGCTGGTTGTAGTGGTACCCAATGAGCCGTCCTTCCATTCGCGTCGGGCCTACACCAGTGAGGATGAGGCCTGGAGGTCTTACCTGGAGAATCCTCTTACTGCGGCCACCAAAGCCATGATGAGCATCAATGGAGATGAAGACAGTGCTGCCGCCCTGGGGCTCCTCTATGAGTACTACAAGGTCAGGGACATCAGCTGAGTCTCCTACTTTCTTCACATTAATCATATTTTCATTTTCACGTCATCATTCGTTCACCCTCATGGTGTTTGAAACCTTTCTTTCTTCAGTGGAACACAAAAAGAGAAATTCAGCAGAATGTTCAAGCTGCTCTTTTCCATACAGTGGAAGTGGATAGTAACTGGGCCTACAGTATGAAGCTCCGGAAATATGTTTTCACAATGAACAGATTTTTGCTGACTTATTATGATATTAATTCAAATATGATAAATAAAATCAAATATAGGTGCAAAAACTTAGACTTATGCATAATAACATTAACTTGTGCACTGTATTTCAATTCATACAACAGCTTTGTTCATTATAAGGATGAACTGGATGGACAGAACAGTCTTCACGGGGCTTATTGCTTTTATAAAACGGTTATTCCATATACGTAGTTAAGTTTCACAAAATAAAACAGAGCAAATAAAGTGTAATGATATTAATAAAAACAGCATTCTTCCACCAAACAATGTAGTTCCTCAGAAAGAGTTGTGGTTGTTTTTCATCCATGATTTCTTGACTAATGAACAAAAATATAAATATGTCTACCAGTGCAACCAAGTACAACTTTATAGCTTGAGTCTCATAAACCAAAACATACTAGCACAGTAAGGATATGATGAAATGATGCTTCTTAGCTGATCTGATATGGAAGTTACCCAGCGGAAGACAATCAGGAAGTTTTCAATTTTCATCCATGATTTCTTGACTAATGAACAAAAATATAAATATGTCTACCAGTGCAACCAAGTACAACTTTATAGCTTGAGTCTCATAAGCCAAAACATACTAGCACAGTAAGGATATGATGAAATGATGCTTCTTAGCTGATCTGATATGGAAGTTACCCAGCGGAAGACAATCAGGAAGTTTTCAATTTATCTATGTGGTGTGATAAATCTCCGTTCAAGCAATCATAGTGAAACAGTGCCTAGGATACTATCAGCGCTGAGGTTTATTGATGTTTTATCCTTTGCAGGTGCCCAAAGATAAGAGAGTTTTGCCCATCAGCAAAGTGGTTGAAATTTCAGAGGAACCAGAAAAGAGGTCAGTGAAATGATTAAAGAATTGGTGAAGTTAAATAAATAGATTTAAAAATGTGACTTATTTCATCTTTTCATCTTTTATGCTTTCATACTGTCTCAGAAACACTACAGTGGGAAGCAGCAGTCATATGGAGCCGGAGACAGTGGATAATCACGTCCAGGTCCTGAAATCAGTGCCTGTTAATCTGTCACTCAACACGGATCACCAGGACACCAAGCGGGAGCAGTACAGCGTGTCTGCGGGAGAGAGCGGGACCGCTGCGGTGGTCAAGGCTGAGGCGTACACTCCTGTGTTCATGCCTTCGGGGGTTCACTACAGGACAGAAGGAGAGGAACCGATGCGGGTCATCTGTGAGCAGGCCCACTCGTTCGACACCTCGACTGTATGTCACAGTGGATACGGGAAGGATGACCATCGCAGCAGTCCAGATAGCACCTATGAGGAAGACAGCAATGAAGTGGGAGCAATTAATTTGGTGTTTCTGAAACATTTGTTATAAAACTTGGATTTAATACAGCAGATTAACGGCTGATTGTTTTTTTTGATGCAGAAGTACCGCCCATCATCGCTTGGAGCTGATGGCTTCATATTTGATCAACCAGAAATGTTGTAAGTGTTGTTTGTTGTAACCAAGTGATTTATATGAAAATGATGTTAGGCTTGTAATATTAGGACGAATCAGCTCTCACACACCTGAAAAACATGCTGTTCAACAGAGACACCTTCCAGTACACACTCGAGGCTAGCAGGTCGTTGCGGCAGAAGCAGGGTGAAGGGCCTATGACCTACCTGAACAAAGGCCAGTTCTACGCTATTACACTGAATGAGACAAGTGCCAATAAACGCCTCCGACATCCCATCAGCAAAGTGAGATTAATTTGGTGTTTCTGAAACATTTGTTATAAAACTTGGATTTAATACAGCAGATTAATGGCTGATTGTTTTTTTTGATGCAGAAGTACCGCCCATCATCGCTTGGAGCTGATGGCTTCATATTTGATCAACCAGAAATGTTGTAAGTGTTGTTTGTTGTAACCAAGTGATTTATATGAAAATGATGTTAGGCTTGTAATATTAGGACGAATCAGCTCTCACACACCTGAAAAACATGCTGTTCAACAGAGACACCTTCCAGTACACACTCGAGGCTAGCAGGTCGTTGCGGCAGAAGCAGGGTGAAGGGCCTATGACCTACCTGAACAAAGGCCAGTTCTACGCTATTACACTGAATGAGACAAGTGCCAATAAACGCCTCCGACATCCCATCAGCAAAGTGAGGGTGAGTGTGTAGGCCTGCCTTCTTCTATCAAACCAGATAACTGAAGAACTTGACATGGTAGAATGTGCCAATGTCATGTCGTTGAGCTTTGATTAATTAACTGGAATATTTAATTTATTTCTGTTAAACATTTTAATTGAATGACAGCTCTAAATTAAATAGTTGAAATAGTTTATTTTCAAAGAAATTAATACTTTTAACATATTCAGTTGATCAAAAAGGACAGAAAAGACATCTATAATGTTACAAAATATTTCTACTTCAAATAAATGCTGTTCTTTTGAATTTCCTATTCATTAAAGAATATTGAAAAATATTTATCACTGCTTCCACATTTCTATTTTTTTTTTGGAAAGCACAAGCGTTTTCACCTGTAATAACTGAAGACTGGAGTAATGGCTGCTGAAAATTTCATCTTAGGAATTAGACTACTTCTTAGTATATATTAAAAGAGAACATTTATTTAAAATGTATTTAAAAAATATTTTTAATTCTAATAATATTTCACAATTACTGTATTTTTGATCAAAAAATGCAGCTATGGTGAGAACGTGAAACTTCTTTCATTAAAAAATCTTAGCAATCCCAAACTTTTGAGCAGTAATGTATGTCTATATTGTCCATTCTTGTTATAGTAATAGTTTAAAAGAATGCTTGGAACGTTTGGAACGGGCATTAAGTAATGAGTGGATTGTGATAACCTCTGTTAATCTCCTTTCTCTTATTTCCTCTATCAGAGTGTCGTCATGGTTGTATTTAGTGAAGATAAGAACCGTGATGAGCAGCTTAAGTACTGGAAGTATTGGCACTCTCGCCAGCACACGGCAAAGCAGAGGGTTCTGGACATCGGTGAGGCTTCCTCTCCATTACTGAGATCAGTGTTTAGCCTTGAACTTTGATTAGGCTTTGCCAATTTACCCCAGTTAATTTAGCCCAGGGGTGTCTAATCCTGCATAAGAATGACTAGACAAGAACAGGCAGATGTGTTAGAGCAGGGTTGGAAATGAAGTCTGCAGAAAGGTTGCCCTCCAGGAAGAGATGGCTATCCCTTGTTTAACAGTGGTTCTCAACCCAGGTCGTGGATAGTCCCCAACAACACACCTGTTATCTGATGATATAAAACACACATTTCAAGTCTCGGAGTGTCTGTGAGAATCAGATGTGGATTATTAGGGATAGTTGTCCAGGGTTGGGAACCACCACTGTATATAATTATATGAACGCAGACATGCGTGCTTTGGCCATTGCACTGCAAGAGCACGGTCTAGTTTTATATAATGTGCAGTGTTACTTTGGTGTACGGCATACTCAATGGGGCAATAGATTTACCTTAAAATGTCTGTGCCATTAAACCAAGGGTGTCCAATCTTGCTTCTAGCGGGCCGGTGTCCTGCAAAGTTTAGCTTCAACCTGTTCTAACACACTTGCCTGGAAGTTTGTAGTGATCCTGAAGACATTGATTGGCTAATTTGGGTGTGTTTAATAAGGGTTGGAGCTAAACTCTGCAGGACACTGGCCCTCCAGGTGAAGGATTGGACACCCTTGAATTAAACAGAACAGGTTACTAGCTATAAGTATATCAGCAGCAAGATTCTCTTCAAACTGTGGCTCCGCCATGGCAGTTGTTGATGTGAAAGAGTAAATATTTATGAATGCAGCGATGCGTGAGATTGAATTTGCATAGCTAAAAGCATTTGTGTTCTTGTACTTGTGTAGATTATGTATAATTCTTTTTCCAAAAATCATTAACTAAACTACTACTCAACACTCTTTGGTCTGAAAGTACTTCTTGCTTTCAAAACAGTTCATTGTGCACCCACCACTAGTTTGAAGACTGATGGTGCCTTACATCCCAGAAGCCCTCAGGGCTCTCAGGAGATTGGTTCCTCTTGGTTTCCCTCTGCTCAGCTAATGGGTACTAGGTTGCTAAATGGCAATACACTCAAATTATACACAACTTTGACTAGAGAGTCTGCCCTGAGATTTTTTTTACAGATCGATGCAGATCTCTTTACACTCTTGAGATTTGGACCGAGTTCTTTCCTCACTGAATCTGGGATTTTAATTAGTTATGAATTAGTTTATAGTTATTTATTGGGTGGTTTCTTATCCACAGCTGTACACTTTATTACAGGGATGGTCCCGTTGGAGCAACCTAGGATTAAGTAATGGTGTAATGGTGTTAGATCGCAATTATTCTCTAACTCCACGAGTCACCCCACCTGGGATTTGAACTTGTGACCTTCAGATCACTAGCCCAGCTTCTGAATCAAGTTGAATGAGAAAAAAAGAGCCCAACATGCAGGCCCAAAATTGTTGGGAGTCCACCTGGTGTGGGGCAGCTACGAGTCTAAACAATTCACGTCTTATTCTCGGCCTTGTCACACCTTGAGAGAACAGTCATCCTGAGCCTGTTGCTTCTTGTCCTCCCCTCATCTCCAGTAATCAGACGCTCTGTTATGCACTTTGTCAAGATTTGGCCCCAAGACTTTCACATCCTGGGAGCACCCTGAGGGAATATCTGAGACGTGATGACAGCTATCTTTGTCTTAAACCCTGCTCTCATAGATGGGGCAAAAATAGAGGAATGTTTTGTTGATGGAAGGTGAGCTTTGTACTACGGGATGCGAATAAAGTGTTGGTAAATTGGTGAAGTGGACAGACCTTTGGGCACATGGTAAACTGCAGTATGCTGAAGCCAAGTACAGGAGACAGTGACTGAAACATGACACCTGCACAGTTGGGATTTGAATAGCAGTTGAGGCGGGATTGTTCCTCAGGCTTGGGGCCATGTCACTAGAGCTGGGATTTGAATGGGGCTATTTAACTGGGGGAGCTCGCTTACGGGCATCGTCGGGCATGCTTGGTAAATGACCCAAAGGAGATCCTTGGGAAGGATTTCACCATTCCTAATCCCCAAGTTACCCAAAAGTAAGACAGGTGTTGGGTTTACTTAACATAGAGATGAACGCCCCTGTAATGACAGCTTATTAAATTACAAAGAAGTTTGGAAACCGAAGAAAGAAAGTCTAATTAACATAGGAAATCACCACTATTGCTACCACTCATACTTAGGGTTAAGGATTTGAACAGATTTTGTTTTGAGAGTCACAACAATCTTTCAAACATTGAACATGCAGTTCATACATGCTATGACTTGAGCACACCTTTTCTATGATGAGCAAGTGTGTTACCGGTTGCCCGACCAATGAATGATCCTTAAATAATGCTGCTAGCTGTGCAAATGGGTGCTATTTGATTTCTAAGTAATCTAATACTTTAGTAGGGCTGGGCTGCCCCCCTAATAGTCGACTACAGGTTAGTTGAGGAGAAGAAGCTTAGTTGACTAAAATTTTATCAGTTGGCTAGTCGGTTAGGGTTAGGGTTAGGGTTGGGGTTAGCTTAGGGTTAAACTATTAATTGTCCTGCATGACATGGAGGTGCCGGCATATGCCATCATTTTGCTGATGCAGATAAGAGTAATTAACATCATTCGAAACTGTAAAGTGTTTTACCTTTCTCTCAATATTAACAAAGCTTGCTTTTGTAAAATAAAGAAAACAAACAGGATGTGCTTTCTGCTGTCTCGGTCTCCTTGAACTGTGGAGCGCGTCACAAAAATGCAGCGAAACTCAGCGTATGTGCTACTTGCCTCACAGACGTGAGAAATATATCTACAGAAAGCTTGAAATGTCTACTTTTAAAGGAACCAATTCAAATACTCTCTCATTATGTAATCCGTACGAATGGAGCATTTCTCTAAAGGCGCATCCACTGTGGAGGTGGCGAGTCAGCAGCGTCAACTTCATCTTTACAGCTAACACTGACTCAGAAAACACTAGTTTATTAATAAATAATTAAAATATATCCTTGCTATTTTTTCCGACACATTCATAGTCATTTGTGGGTGCTTTGCGGCAAGGTTTATACAGTACATGCGCTTGAATGCGAAGTAGGCTATAGCCTATATTAAAGGCCCCCTAAGTATATATTCAAGTAATTAAATTAATAAACATGCAATTAGTCAACTAATGGCTTAAATGAACAACTATTAACTGACAAAAAAAACTTTAGCCAGGGGCAGCCCTGACTTTTAGCCTGGTGGACATCAACACAGCCACTAAGAAAGTACCAGTCAAGAATGTAAAGTTAACTGCCGTAGCTACGCTAGCATAGACAGGCTGACTCCAGCCATTGAAACTGTTATGAGATCACTTCAACGTAAATCTATAAAGTAATGACATTTAGGCTGAATCACAGACATGTTTAAAGTGTGAGTGGTCATAAATGGCCTATCAAGCGGCTACTAAAAAAGTTAATGTTTGTTTACATAAACAGATAAGAGTTATCTAGCCTGGAAGGGTACACTCAGCTTATCAGTCTTAAAACCACTTGCTTTAGCAGACATTGTTTTAATGTCGCCATTCTCTGACACTCGCCTGAGCTGTTCGCACATCACTCCCTAAAATTGTTCATACACCATATAAATTGTACATGCCTCTACCCCCGCACGTATCAGTCTGTAGGTGAAGTGCACGCTGGTTTGGACTGGTTTACGCAGGTTAGTTGTGGTCTGGTGCTAGTGGTGCATAGCTGTAAACCTAGTATCCAAAACACAACATATCCTGGTTTGCTTTGTTGTTGTTTTTTCAGCAAGTATGAGAACTGACATTTCCTGTTCTCTCTACAGCTGACTACAAAGAGAGCTTCAACACAATTGGGAATATTGAAGAAATCGCTTACAACGCTGTGTCCTTTACCTGGGACGTGAATGAGGAGGCCAAGGTAAGTCATCTAGCACCAAGACTGTGTGCTCACAGTTCTGATGTGGCACTGCAAATTTACAATGAATACGTCCTCCAGTGTGTGTTTTGGGCTTATGGGCATATGGATGTTGAAGTGGGAGATGTAGTTGTTAAACCCAACCAAAGGTTCAGTTTTTACAGTCTGACTACATCAGTGGATCTGTTTTTTTTCTTTCATTCATTCGCACTACCACCATTACGTGTGATACACAAAATGTTATTGAGAAACAGGGTGGAGTGTTACGACATCTGATATGTGTATTTTACATGCTGTAGTTTCTGTCCTGTTGTTGAACACGCCCCAAGAGCCATGAATAGCGTGATGTTTGATTCACAATACCCTGGTGCATCTTCCCCAGTCCCGTCTATTAATTTAAACCTCTATTTTCTCCTGTACGGTGTCTCGGGTTACACATGTACACTACTGAGAGTAGGAAATGAACCAGGTCTGTGTGTGTACATGGCCAAACGCACACAAACCCGAGTCCAGATCCTCCCAGCCTCACAGGTAGAGTCCTGCCCTCCTATTGTGGCTCTTCTGTTGCAATACAGCTCAGTTCAAACACTCGCCTCTGGAGTATATTCACCTAAAGCTCTCTATGCAAACATTTGCTTTTTATCGGGCCAACTCACACTGGTAAACCTATTAATGTGGACCATGTGATGTCTCAATGCAGCCGCCCTTGGAAGGATATTTAAGTGGGTTTGACTTTTTTTTTTTTTTTGAGTCCAAGCTCAAGTAAAAGCATGCAGTGGGGTGTGAAATGCGCTCAGTTTGATCTGATAAACATCTCATACTCTGACCTAACATACTCTCAAACTTTTATTACAAGTCCCTTCAAAGCTCTTCTCATCAGGCTGGAGTGGAGGAAGCCATAAACTGAGTCTCTCCATGAGCCATTGATCTGTGAGCTGGAAATTATGCCCTTGCTGCAGTGTGGAAGGGCTTAGTTTATTTTACGAGTGGTAATATTACGAAAACAGTAATATTGTGAAATATTATTACAATTTAAAATAAATGTTTTCTATTGTAATATATTTAAAAATTTAATTTATTCCTGTGATCAAAGCTGTATTTTCAGCATCATTCCTCCAGTCTTCAGTGTCACATGATCCTTCAGAAATCAGTATAATATGCTGATTTGCTGCTCAAGAAATATTTATTATTATTATCAATATTGAAATTGATCATTTCAATATTAAGCAGCACAGTTGTGCTGCTTAATATTTTTGTGGAAACCACGATACATTTTTAAAAAGTATTGTTTGATGAATCGAGAAGTTAAAAGGATAGTATTATTTGACACAGAAATCTTTTGTTATAATACAAGTCATGCATTGCTACATAGAAGGTTTTCCGGTGGCAAATTTCAATATTAAGCAGCACAGTTGTGCTGCTTAATATTTTTGTGGAAACCACGATACATTTTTAAAAAGTATTCTTTGATGAATCGAAAAGTTAAAAGGATAGTATTATTTGACACAGAAATCTTTTGTTATAATACAAGTCATGCATTGCTACATAGAAGGTTTTCCGGTGGCAAATTAGGAAATAAAAGATTTTCCGATGCCATATGAGTGTATTCAATACATATGAAGTGCTCCAATTCAGTTTTCTTGCCACGCTTCACCTAACGATGGCCTCTTTCTTGTCCTCTGGCATTGGTAAAGGATTATTATATGAAACCGTTAATAACTAACCACATAAATATTTAGTGAGCAAGAGAGGAGGCAGAGGCTAAAAACTGCTTTGGAATTGAAAATGAATCAATGCAAAGATGACATTTAAGATTAAAATTGGGTCTTGTATTAATATAAAACTATTTCCTTCAGTTGGAACTTTGAGTGTTCTGTGCAGATGAAACGGCATAGTTGTTAGTGTGCAGTCAGAGCGTTGTTTCTGTAGTAGTCAGTGGTACAGATAGACGTGTCGAGGCAGGCACCTGTTTTGCGTGTGTAGGTGGATGGTGGGTGAAAAACAATGTGCACTTTCAACGGTCAGGACTGTGTAGGTCAATCCGGAACAAGCTGTTAGAAAATATAAATATGGCAGTTCTTATGCAACCGTCTGTTACATGTACATCCAGATACCTACATTATATATCATAACAATCTCCCACAGTACCCCAGTGGCAGAGTTTTGCACTGACAGACACCACTAACATGCTTGTTTTCTTAACATGAACCTTCATGTGGAACTGAACTGTTTTTGTCTTTGATTGTTAGATCTTCATCACGGTGAACTGTCTGAGCACAGATTTCTCCTCTCAGAAGGGGGTGAAGGGTCTTCCTCTGATGATACAGATCGACACCTACAGCTACAACAACCGCAGCAACAAACCCCTGCACAGAGCCTACTGTCAAATCAAGGCCTTCTGTGATAAGGTGAAGCTTGACCTATAACCTTTGAACCTATGCATATGGTATTCCAACATATGGGTATATCTGTGGAAGCAGTCATGGAGATTTAAAAGGAATAGTTAAAGAGATTCACCCAGAAATGAAAGTTTGCTGTTAATTTACTCAGGCCAATTTGTAGGTGACTCTTTTTTTCATCAGTGGAGCAGTAAAGAAGATTTATAGCTGAAACCGTGGTCCTTGGTGATTCATAAAATGCAAGTCAACAGCTACCGTCACTTTTAGAGTCAAAAAAGCATATACAGGCAACACATAATTAATATCCGTGGCTCCTTATGATATATTGATGTATTATGAAGCAAAACAATTGGTCTGTGCAAGAAACAAGAGTGCTATTTACAACATTACTGCCTGTAATCTATAGCCTCATGCAAACTGTCCGGAGCGCGTTCACGAGTCTAGAGTGCTTTACTTTACTTTTAACTTTTCTACAGAATAAAAAATGTCACCTACATGGCCTGAGGGTGAGTAAATTAACAGCAAATTTTCACATTTAGGTGAACTATCCCTTTAAAACAGCAGTAATAGAGAGCTGCAGTGATGACTTTTTTAAATTTTTAGGTCAACTTGTAAGTTCGTTTCACCGCGATTCCCTTGACAAAAACCCAATAGGATTTTTCTATAGGCTTTTGGATTATTGCAGAATATAAGTCCTGTGACTAACAAAAGTTTTTATCATTTGTACGTCGTGATAATCTTCACAAATGAACAGAACTTTTTTCAATTTTGCAGCCTAAATATAATTGCCAGAATTAAAGAGAAAGCTTAGCATTGGTTATAAACGAAGTACACCACGGACACATGACTTAAATGTCACCATCACTGAGCTTCTGGCAACTCTTTCAGTCTTTATTTAAAACCATTTTCCTTGAAAGTTTGAGTTAGAATAGTTTGCAGGAGTGTGATTATAAACACAATGAGGCTGTGAGAGTGGCTAGTGATCAGATGAGTTTATCTGTTCAGTGTGACGATGTTTAATATCTTAGACAACCTCTGGAGTCCCATTCAGACACTTGTGATCAACCACCTTTTTCAAAACAAGTAAAAGCTTTTTAAAAATCTCAAGGGGTATTACTGATGTATTTCATATTGTAGAATATACTGTTAAATGATCCTCCTGACCTTGTGTTATACAGACTTTAAAACCCATTCAAAATCCCATTAACTTTAGCAAAATTCTCATTTCTGAGCCTACAAAAGTACATCATCCGTGCAGCAATATATATGCATGCTCACTTATTTTAATAAGCAATTTAATAAGCTTTTACCTACAGCTTAAGTGGGTCATTATTTAGACATGTTTATGGTGTGTTCCTGGTCTACAACTCAGGAACTGTAGTGCCATCTTGTGGTTGTTCATTATTGTTACCTTTTCACAGACATGCTACTGTTTCTAATTTCTCTTTTCTCTGTGCTTTTCCTGTCTGTGTTTGTGCGGCTCAGGGAGCGGAGAGGAAGATCAGAGATGAGGAGAGGAAACAGAACCGCAAGAAGACAAAAGGTCTGAAGCACTGAAAGCATCTCCAATTCATAAAAATAAGCTTTAAGGAACGCAATAAGTGATTTGATAAACACAATTTTCTCTCCTGACATATTTCTTATTGAAGTGCATTTTTTGAATAATCTAGAGGCTTCACAACCATGAACCATGATGTGCTACTTGCTAGTCCATGGCACATTTGATTGGACCGAAACCTGTGTTTTGCAGGATGAGTCACCATTATTATCATCAATAACAGTTATTCTTACATGTACAAATGACTTCATCTCATCAGGAAAGGATGGAGGCGTCGGGGCGGTTTCTGTCCCGAAAAAATGTGACGCCACCTTCTTTAAAACTATGACTGATCTGGATGCCCAGCCGGTTCTCTTCATCCCGGATGTGCACTTTGGGAACTTACAGAGGGCAGGCCAGGTATGAGTCAGTCTGAAAACACACTCAATGACCAGATCACAAGCTCTTTTGTGTTGAAAGTCCTCTGCCATTTTGCAGACGGCTGTAATTGAGGTCACATAGTCTGCCCTCTGTGTTTGCTTCCTCAAATCTCAAAAAGGCTGTAGAGGCTCATTAAAGAACTGTCATGAAGACCTTAGCGGTCCATTGTGTGTCTAACGAGATTGAAACTTATTAGAGAGCGACTGACCTTTCAGAACCCGACATGAAAGTTCACGGTTACCTTCCTCGTGCAGCATATGTGTGAGTATCTTGGATACTTAGGTGACATTTGTTTATTAGGAGTGATATCTGCTGAACTGGTCATTGTAGTGTCTATTTTCCGGCTTGTTCTGAATGTTACAGAGATGCTTGCTTATGAATGTTTACTGGAAATAAAACGACAAACTTTTGAACACAACTCTTTGCAGGTGTTTGCATTTAATACAGAGGAAATTGAACGCGAAGGGTGAGTTTGAGCTTTTTCTCAGTATTTATGCTGTAAAACAGAATAAGATATTCTTATATCATAACTAAATGAGCATCACATCACCTCATAATTAACTACTAGCACTGATGCAATAGTAGATCACAGGGATCCTCAAGAATATTTATTAATAAAAGTGACTATCAACACTGTTTAATAAAAAAAATGATTCACTGTAAAATGTATTGAGTTGTGGTATTACATCCATAACATGAATCATATATAATCTGTTTAGTGTTTGGTTTAGGGCTATCATGATGATGACATTTTCCTGGTAATTAATTATCATTCAGATAATGATTTAATTGTCTGTTTTAGTTATATTATTTACAGTAAAAGTCTAATACACATACACTTAAAAAAGTAATGTTATCACATACAACTCTAGCATTGTATACAAATAATATTCTACACATTAAAATATTTTAAAAGCACTTAAAGTCTTAAAATAGTCACATGGCACACTACTACTCTTAAGAAGGAAAAATTAATTGTGTGTTTTGTGACATTTTTATATTCGCTTTAAATTTGTCAATATTAAAATGTAATGATTGTAATTAAGGGGGTGTTTACACAAAACCATTAATTTACACGACAATGCTGTTTTTGGGGGCCTGAAAATGCAAACTTTTGTGAACAGGTTTCAGAGTGCATGTTTTGGAAAACAATACCGCTATCGTTTCTGTGTAATACATGAAAATGTGAATTTGTGAAAACTGTGACATTATGCACATGCGCATTACGTGTATTACATTAGCTGCGTAGTGTTTCTCTACAAAGTGTCATTGCCAACTACTGGTCTGGCATGAATAATGCAGCATTTTAGTCATTTTCGCGGATTCGTGTGAACGGAGTGATTTGATGATGTTGTCATCTGTTCACAGAACTTTTCAAAAATACAAAGGAAAAACATTTCTGTTTTTAATACATCCTTGTTGTGTAAATATACCCTTTAAGTACACAGTGATTGCTGTTTTGTCAAATAATCATGATTAGATCCTATGTGACCCTGGAGCACAAAAGCAGTAAGTCAAGTCGCTGGGGTATATTTGTAGCAATAGCCAAAAATACATTGTATGGCTCAAAATGATTGATTTTTCTTTTATGCCAAAAATCATTAGGACATTAAGCAAAGATCATGTTCCATGAAGATATTTTGTAAATTTTCTACTGTAAATATCTCAAAACTTAATTTTTGATTAGTAATATGCATGGCTAAGAACTTCATTTGGACAATTTAAAGGTGATTTTCTCAATATTTAGATTTTTTTGCACTCTCAGATTCCAGATTTTCAAATAGTTGTATTTCGGCCAAATATCGTCCTATCCTATCAAACCACACATCAATGGAAAGCTTATTTATTCAGCTTTCAGATGATGTATACATCTCAATTTCGAAAATATTGACCCTTATGACTGGTTTTGTGGTCCGGGGTCACATATCACTGCATTCAGGTCATTCAGATCAGAATCTGATCATGTGATTGGTCAGTTGAGAGAGGCATGATGCCATTGTGTTTGTTTGTGTTAGAAGTGTGCTGGTGAAGAGGATGTTCCGGCAGTCTGAGGATGACTTCTGTCCACCGCCCCATAAACAGCCCAGAGAGGAGACACAGAAGAGAGGTCAGAGACACACTTACACACATGCACATCTACAGCTGAAGAGTGTATTTCCCAACCTGATCTCACTGTTTTACAAGGTGGCGATTTCGTATCAATCTGTATGATGAGAATTGGACAAAACATGTGATTTAAAATTTTTTTTTTAGAGAAAAGTAAACATGAAGGTCCACCCCTTAACATAATGTACAAATGAGATTGTATGGATTCATATGAATTAGCCACCAATTCGCCAAAAGTTAAAATAGTTGAGATTATGATGCTATTTTCTGATTTATTGCACAGAATTGAAAAAATAAGAACAGTTTCAAGACACCTACACAGGCCATAAACAATTCTTGAGAAAACAAGGACATTTTATACCAAAAAAATAAAATAAATAAATAAAAATATGAATATGTTCCATGAAGCTTCTGTAGGATTCTATTGTTTGAAAGTCTTTTTCTTAAAAATTCTATTTGGTGCTGGTTGTAGCCAAAAAAAAAAAAAAAATATATATATATATTATTCAGGGGCATCTCAATAAATTAGAATGTCGTGGAAAAGTTCATTTATTTCAGTAATTCAACTCAAATTGTGAAACTCGTGTATTAAATAAATTCAGTGCACACAGACTGAAGTAGTTTAAGTCTTTGGTTATTTTAATTGTGATAATTTTGGCTCACATTTAACAAAAACCCATCAAATCTCAACAAATTAGAATATGGTGACATGCCAATCAGCTAATCAACTCATCAAATGATTTGTTAACTATATTTTAAATAAAAACAGCTATGGAAAAATGAAGAGACCACTTGAAAATTCTAAGTTTCTCTGGATTTACGATTTATATTTATGTGTTTGAATAAAACGTAATTTTTATTTTATTCTGTAAACTACTGATGACATTTCATCCAAATTTTAAATTAAAATGCCATTTAGAGTATCTTTTGCATAAAATGACAATTGGTCAAAATAACAAAAAAGAAGCCATGTTTTCAGTCATGTTTATATTCAATTTTAGACAACACAATACCAATGTTTTAACTTCAGAAGAGTTAAGAAATCAGTATATTTGGTAGAATAACCCTGATTTTCAATCACAACAAATAAAAGCATTTATTATTTTCAGCAATTGTCATTTTCTGCAAAAAAAAAAAAAAGCTCCGATATTTTTATTTGAAATTGAAAAGAAATGTTATCAGACCTTTACAGAGTATAACACAAATATGAACATTTTACTCAAACCCATACCTAGTCAATTCAGTAAATCCAGAGAAACTGATCATTTTCAAGTGGTCTCTTAATTGTTTCCATAGCTGTATGTAGGGGGATTGTACTTTACTCTATCATTTCTATGTGCAGCATGCTCTGAATTCCCACCGCTGATTAGATTCTAAAGTCTTAATTTAATTCCACATTCTATTCAAATTCTATGAAGAAAAACTATGACATAATTAAGTCCAGTTACTTCAGTAGAGATTGCTTTGACACTAAGCAGACTTAATGTTTTCACAGTGCTCCTGTACGTGAGGAAGGAGTCGGATGAGGTGTTCGATGCTCTGATGCTGCGGTCGCCCACTCTCAGAGGACTCATGGATGCAGTGAGTATCTGTCGCTGTAGGGGGCGCTCTACTCTAAATTACTGACGCAGTGTGCTGAGTAATGATTTTAACTTCAGAAGGGTTAAGAAATCAGTATATTTGGTGGAATAACCCTGATTTTCAATCACAACAAATAAAAGCATTTATTATTTTCAGCAATTGTCATTTTCGGCAAAAAAAAAAAAAAGCTCAGATATTTTTATTTGAAATTGAAAAGAAATGTTATCAGACAGAGTATAACACAAATATGAACATTTTACTCAAACCCATACCTAGTCAATTCAGTAAATCCAGAGAAACTGATCATTTTCAAGTGGTCTCTTAATTGTTTCCATAGCTGTTTGTAGGGTGGTTGTACTTTACTCTATCATTTCTATGTGCAGCATGCTCTGAATTCCCACCGCTGATTAGATTCTAAAGTCTTAATTTAATTCCACATTCTATTCAAATTCTATGAAGAAAAACTATGACATAATTAAGTCCAGTTACTTCAGTAGAGATTGCTTTGACACTAAGCAGACTTAATGTTTTCACAGTGCTCCTGTACGTGAGGAAGGAGTCGGATGAGGTGTTCGATGCTCTGATGCTGCGGTCGCCCACTCTCAGAGGACTCATGGATGCAGTGAGTATCTGTCGCTGTAGGGGCGCTCTACTCTAAATTACTGACGCAGTGTGCTGAGTAATGGAGGTGTAAAATGAAACAGCATCAACTTGAAAATGAAGTGTATAAATTGTAAATAGATTGGCCATTTTCAGTTGTATAAATCCAGTGCCTGATCCCAATCTACCTCTTGGTAAAAATGATCCATCTAATTATATTTGTGTCTTCAGCATATTTAAAAAAAATAATTAAGACTAAAATAATCAGATCCAACTGAATCATGAACAAATTTATATAGATTTTTTAAATTTATTTTAAGCAATCAAAATCAAATCATTGTCAATTTTACGCTCTGATACATGATTTAATTGATGAATTCTTTCATATCAACAGATTTCAGAGAAGTACGGTGTTCCCATTGATAGAATGGCCAAGATTTACAAGAAGAGCAAGAAAGGGTAAGCTATTTCAAGAGGACCCTGAAACCGTCCCTCGGTATCGCCTCTCTTCCATGGGGGGCAGATCATTTAGTGTTGTTGCCCCTAAATTACGGAACTCTCTTCACAGATCGTTCTGTCTTGCCAATAACCTGTCTGAATTTAAATCGCTGCTCAAAACTCATTTGTTTTCACAATGTTACCAAAGTTGACCTCTGTTTATTCTGATTTATGTTGTCTTATCCATATATTACTCCCCGGATGTCTGATGTTCTCTTTACTTTACTTTCTGTATTATTGTTTGATTGTTTTTTTGATGTTATCCTCACATTTCTGATGTTTATTGTAAAGTGTCCTTGAGCTCTGGAAAGGCGCTATAAAAAATAAAACTCATTATTATTATTATTATTATTAAGAGGACATTTCAGATTCAGATGACGACTAATAAGCCCGTTGTAATTTAGTTTATTCTCCACATTTCAGGATCCTGGTGAACTTGGACGACAATATCATCGAGCACTACTCTAACGAGGACACATTTATCCTGAGTATTGAGAACTACGCAGATGCTTACAAAATCACATTAACGGAAATATGAACAGCAGCACATGCATTTCTAACATTCAGTATGTTTAAGCTAAAAGACTTGTTACTTGGACTCCAGCCTGGTCAGATTCAACATCAACTGTCCATAAATTGAATTGACATCAACTAAAGCTGACATACCTCATTTTTAAGAGACCTCAAGTATGATTTTTAATGGTCAATTAGGAGTTTCGGCGCATCCCAAACATGTCCACAATTTCACTGTTCTGCTGTGGATGGAAAGTATATTGCTATCACTGGCTTCACATTAAGGACCAAAGTACAGACTAATTCACATTTCACTTAATTTTGGAGACCACCAACAGATTCCCACCTGAATCTCAACTGTTTCTTCCAAAGGATTTCACTGGAGTGGAGTATGAAATGAAATACGTGATCTCTTCATCACATCAAAATACTGTGCGTACAGTATGAATATTCAACAAAAGCAAGCGTCCACTGGAATTATAATGCTAAGATACATTTGCTTGCAGCAAAAATATGAATTTTGGACTTTTCTGTGGAGTTTGAGAGTCTGCAGAGCTGTTGATCTGTGAAAAGTGTCCAATACTGTCAATGTTTTTTTGTGAGTGTGTGTATTATGGTGCCATTAATATTATTGTTAATGTTAGCTTGGTAGATATGATTTAGCTTCTTACTGTCTGAATATTCACAGACTTTTTTTCTGATGCAAAAAGAAAGCTATTTTTATGAGACTGTGCCATTTCAAGTTTTTGTATGCTAAATAGTGCAAAGCAGGAAATATGTATAAATACTGTAATGTTTAACTGTACAGTACTAATGATCAGTCACAGTAAGTGTAGCTCAGACACATTTCAGTTGCATGTTTTACATGTTGCACTCATGGTTTAATGTGAAATTAATTTTATAAAGGTTCCATTGGTTTTAAATGCAAAAAGATTTCATGACCTTGTCTGAACGTGTATCTTTACATAAACAGCGAAGGTTTTTCCCTTTTGCATCCAAATATGAGCGTCTCATTGTCATTATGTTTGAAATAACTATGCAGTCTTAAAGTCTGGTTCATTTCTAGTGTTTGTATAGTGTAACAGGATAACATTAACTGTGTAGTGCCGATTCAGTTGATCAGCACCATTTTGAGCTGTAATGTTTGAAAACCATTGTCTTCCAAAAGAAATAATGTAAAAGGGCACTTCGGAATAATAATTTGTATGTAAATAAAAGCATTTTTTATCAAATTTGGATTGTTTTTTTTCACACTACAATTAAAGGAACAGTTTACCAGAAATTTGCTGAAGATTTACCTACCCTCAGGCAATCCAGGATGTAGATGAGTTTTCTTCATCTGAACAGATTTGGAGAAATGTAGCATAACATCAGTGTCTCACCAGTGGATGCTCTGCAGTGAATGGGTGCCGTCAGAATGAGAGTCCAAACAGCTGATACAAACCATCACAATAATCCACACCACTCCAGTCCATCAGTTAATGTCCTGTAAAATGAAAAGGTGTGTGTTTGTAAGAAACAAATCCATCAAGACTTTTTTAAAACTTCAAACCATTACTTCCGGCTAAAATATAAGTCCATATTCCATAATAACGCTTCCTCAAGTGATAAAGTCCATCCCCTGTTGTCCTCTCACATCAAAATCCACCCACATATTTGTTTAGAGCCGTTTTGGACTGTATTGACTTGTAAATGATGCTTGACCTGTGCAGCTTTCTCTCCTGTTTCAGACGAGATGACTCTTTAACAAGCAATAGCATGTTAAATAGAGGACTCATTTTTTATTTCATTTGAAGTTAAAAATGCATTAATGATGGATTTGTTTCTTACAAACACGCAGCTTTTCATTTCACAGGACTTTACCTGATGGACCGGAGTGGTGTGCATTATTGTGATGTTTTTATCAGCTGTTTGGACTCTCATTCTGACGGCACCCATTCACTGCAGAGGATCCATTGGTGAGCAAGTGATGTAATTCTGCATTTCTCCAAATCTGTTCCCATGAAGAAACAAACTCATCTACATCTTAGATGGCCTGAGGGTGAGTTCATTTTCAGCGAACTTTCGTTCTTTAATCTTGAGATATGGCCACTTTAAACCCTGTAGGTTAACGAGAATTCCATACAAGAATTTTGTTAAACCAGGGTTACAACCGATCCTGGGTTAATAACTTTAAGAGACATTTTCTTTCTTTTCTTTTATTTATGATATAACCAAAAAAGACGCCTGCGTTTATAATATCTACACACACAATGTACAGGTTACCATATAAAATCTACAAAAGGATGACAAACATTTAGTTGCACAGCTTACACTGATAGAACACTGTTTGTTTTGCCATATATATATATATATATTTAATCTGTGTTTGGCACTTGACCACATGTTGCTGTCTTGTGTGCTTTAGAAATGAAATGCCAGATGCTTAAACAGTTTTTTTTAAATTCAAGCTCCTTCATGAACTGTTCTGATCAGCATGTGGCTGAAGAAAGTTTGATCATCCCAACCTCGGCTTTGCAGCAAATGAAACCGCAGAGAGTTTCTGATGGCTATCCATATCTATACATGTGGCCTCTGATGTGGATTACGTGTGAGCGAGTGTTTGTGCATTGATCAATGGACTACAGATTTGCAATACACAAAAAGCACACGCCATCCACTTACACTGTCTCTTGCATTTAAAACATAGTCACTTCTAACCCTGAGGTTGTGTATAAATATTCTTACACATTGATATTTTACGCTCCAATTGTCATGTCACCGACTGCATGCTCACAAGTGCTGACTGAATAAACACACGAGAACTCAAAAAGCATTACATGCATACCACATACACACATATTCATCCTGAAATGTGCAGAATGCCCCAGTAGATGCAGAGAATACATTCAGTCTGAGGTGCACACCCCACAGTAGAACGTGCAAAATGATTTGAGCCGGATATAAAAATAAAGACCTGAACCGAATACTAAGACCAAGATTCAGTCAAATTGAATAGTACTTGGGTGAGTCACTCATGCTAATGTGTAGTATTTTTTGACAGCTCCCTGGTGTGGGAAGAAGATTGACTGAATCGAGGTCTGGATAGAGTAGAAAGTGTCTGGAAAGCTGAAGTGAATGTGTCTGCTGGTGTCTGGCAGTAAATGCTGCAGGGGTTCATGGTCCGTTGTGCATGCGCATAGTAACATGTGGTCTTCGCTGTTCATTGTCACAGTCCTACAAACATATGCTTTTACTGTACAAATGATGATTTGAAACAAAAGAAAATGCCATATTTCAATAATAACAGCAGTTTGATATAGAAAAGCACTTTTAGTTTTTTTGTGCTGTGATACATTTTTAAACCATAAATTATTTCTACAATTTTTTTTTGTAGAAATACTTTTTCATGTCTCTTTTGAAGCTGCAAGATTACTATTATTGCTGTCCTTATGAAAATATTTCTTTGTTTCATGGTATTTTCCAACTTTTTGGTTATTGTCAGTCCTATGCCGTGAGTATTAATGTTTAAAAAATATCATTTTTTTAAAGAATGATTATTATTTAGTTTTAAAGGTTATACTGATGCTCATTAAAGGAGCACCATCGTGACAAAATGTGACCCCAACCGCCCCTTCAGAATCTATCACAGGCTCTGACATCATCATAATGCAATAAACGTTGAAAAAAAACAAAATCAAGTAAAAAAAAAACATGACAAGTCACTCTCTTTTAAATAGATGTTTATGCTCAATGGAACTGAAATACTAGGAACACTAGAAATGACATTTGTCATTGTATGTGTAAAATTAATTGATTAAATTCTTAAAAAAATAATTATTAAATAAATTATATTTTGGTGTTTAGAAAATTTGACAAAGTGTTACATTATCTGGTGCATTTTGCATGCTTGGAAATGTTTGCTTCAGCTCCCTGTCTGTTAATATTTAAAGCCCTTTTCGAAAGGGTTTACTTCAGTACCAAATGTTTATAACAGGAACATGATGTGATGTTAAATGGCAAAAAAGCCTTATATGAGGAACTGAAAAACCAGAGAGACACATGAACACAAGCTTCTTAGTGTGTATGATCTCTGAATGAATGGTCGCATGTTTCCATGCGTGATGTTCAGTGGGAAACCCACAGACACTGAGACCGGGATGTGGTTTGGAGTCTATGCTCTGCTGATATTCGAAGGAGAGCGAACAGAAAGACTTGTGTAAGAGAGGTTATGACAGTAGCGAGACGCTGCTGATTCACTGTCCCGCACTGCTGGGATCGCACTGCAACAGTCTCACGATGGATGGGTCGTTCTTTGCGCCCTCTACAAACTCTTCGATTGACAGTTTACCTGCGGAACAACACAGGGTCAAAGGTCAAAAATAAGCAGGATTTGGCTGATTAGCTTGGGTCAGTTAGCCATTCGAAAGCATATTTAAAGCAGTTAATTTTTTTGAGCAACAAGTGACATGCAAAAAATCTTTACCAATGCCTGATTTCTGTGAGTCCGCTTAAACTTCTATATAAGTACACTTTAGCATACTTTTAATAAGAATACATATTGCAGAAATAATATACTTGTAAATGTAACGTTTTTGGACACTTAAGTGCATGTTTACAATTAAATTAAAATGTATTATAGTTTAAATTTACATTAAATGCAATTAGTGACCTTTAGAGCGTTTTTACCCACTTATGTAGGACTTAAGTACATCTTTATATGTAATTTCATAATTAATTTTATTATCTTTGAAATATGATACTGCCATATCTGTGTACTGTCGAATGTACTGACAAGCACTTATGATAAACTAAAATATAGTTTAATGCTATTTCTACTAAACATGCATGACATGAATTTTAAATATATATATGTAATTAAACACCTGTAATGTGTAATGTAATGTCATCAACAAATTAACATCAAATGCAATTATATTGAATAACACACTACAGTTAAAATGATAATCAAGTGCTTCACATGCGCTTTAGTATGTTAGTCAACGCATCAAAACAAGTGTACTTCTTTAAACACAACAACAGATTATTAAAACAATGGGTTTAAATGCACTTTAAAGTAAAACAGTTATTTGACAGTGTTACTAAGTGCATTTCTTAAAAGTCTACTTAAGTGTGTTTAGAAACACTCATGAAAGTGTCTCTCTTTAAGTGCACTTAAGTGGTCTTTTGTTTCAGTGAAATTATTTTTTTTAAATATACTTTTAAGATTTTAAGTACACTACAAGTGTGCATTCAATACACTTAAGTGCACTTCTTTTTCTCAAGTGGATAGGAAGCTCACCATCACGATTTGTGTCCATCTGGCGGAAGATCTTATCCGTGCGTTTCTCAGGTGTGGACTCGTCCTCTGGCATCTTCATCACCGAAGAAACCATCTTATAGATGGCCTGAGGAAGACAACAGCAAAGATAAAATCAACATCAGCTTAAGTGTAAAATTCTACTCAAACAGAACAAGACAAAATCTATTTCACAAGCTTCCTTGTCGTTTAC